CGTTGGGGCCACTCTGGGTTGGAGGTGGGACTGGGGTTGGGAGTGGTTGCGCAGGCTGGTGAGAAATTGGTTAGAGGTGGTCAACAGACTACTGTCACTGCTGAGAGACACTTCTTTTCTAGAACAGGAAAGTAAGAGTGTTGGGAATCACAAATATTTCCTATGAGCACAAATCCCTGGCTCCCTGCTAAAAACAAGACCTTAAGTTAAACCGCCAGATGCATTTGTGTGGTGGAGCAAGTATGTGCAGTGTGGGATGCTAGGCAGCTCCTGCCAACAGGAGATCATGTGGGACTGAAGGATGTCTAGGTCAAAACCATGGCAACCATAAAACCCAACAAGACAGAAGGTGGACTTGGTCTCCTTAGTCTCTCGTTGCCAGATTCTGTTTTCTTTTCCAGTTCTGCCGGACACTGGCACCACGGTGATGAGTTAGGAGAAGCAGACGTTAGCTGAAAGCACATTACAGACACTTTACAGATACTCACTCACTTTGTTTTCATAACTGCCCTGTGCAGCGGGTGACCATTTATAATCCGCATTTAGCAGATGACAAAATGCAGTCTCAGAATAGTCGGGAAGTCAAAGGCAAAGTTGTCCTCTGAACCTGGCCTTGGGAAACTGTAGCCCCAGTTTTCTTCCATGACATGGTGCTGGATAAGGAAAGGAGGAAGGTGGTAGACGGCAGGTATTACACTCGACCTGCTGGGATGTCACACATGGTTTTTATTCATTTTATCAATTATAGAAGTATAAAATCATCATAATCGTGATTCCATGTGCTGTCTTGGTAATCACCTTACTTTCACCTCTTGCGGAGTCCTGGGTATGTTTTATTATCAGTGCCTGCCCTTGTTATCTCTTAGAAGTCTCATCTTGAAATCACCCAAGTCAGAGTTTACCAGCTATCTCTTACTCATCTCCAGAACTCCGCCCAATTCCACTCCTATCTCTATCTGGATTCTCATTTTGAACTCCACCCTTTGGACCATTCCTCTTTTTTTTTCCCAGCAATCCTCATTCCTGATCTCCAGTTTATTCCCCTTTCCCCTGTTTTAACTTCTTCCAGTTGGTGACCTTAACTCAAACATCTAATACATGAGAGCATGTCAAGTTACAGCTTGTTAAGTACCAGGAAACATAGTCCTTGAAGACTTCAGCAAAAGATGATGTGCCTATGACAGCATCCAGTGTCGCTTTCCTGACCCTTCGTCAGCCTCACCTGGGTGATTCTTTGCACCCCTTGAAAACTTTTATGTGGTTTGGATCCTAAGTACATGGTTTTGCTGCCTTCCTTTCTTCATCTAGCATACTGATAACACAAACTTTTACTATGTAGTTTTTGATGCATAGTTTTTCCTGTGTATATGAGGTGGCATCAAAAAGTTTATTAATAAATAAGCTTGTTTGGATACAAAGAATTTTTAAATTTATGCATACTTTTTATAGTGTAAGTTTTCCATGAACTTTTTGAAGACCCTTTGAATGCATAGATCTCAAAATTTTATACCAAAAAAACCCTATGCTTTAATTCCATCTTCTACCAACTTAATGAAGTTTCCTTGTATGTACAATCATTTACTTAATCAATCAACTATTATTGTGTATATCTATTGCTTCTCATTTTTTTCTTACTGTAAGTTATCCTGCTCTGAACATCTTTATGGCAAAATTGTAGTGCATTTCTCTGATTCCTTTCTTATGAAGAATTCCTGGAAGTGGAGTTTCTGGGTCAGATTATCTACATACAGTTAAGTCTGTTGTAAAAGATAACCTACATTGCATCTCAGAAAGCTTTTCTCAATTTGCCACCATAACAGAAGGGCGGGTGAGGTTCCTGTCAGTAATCCTCAGAAGAATGGCGTCTCAGGATTCGCCTCTGCTTAACCATGTGGTCTGTGCGCATCACAGGACCTTGAGTACCATCAAAGCGTTGGTTTGGGACTTGGAGCACTTCCTCCATCTTTCATTCTGCTCAGCCGCCTCATGTTTCGAGGCTCACAGCACTTCTGAATGTTCTCGGGGGTTCTCACTAGAGCACATGGGTAGCAGAGCCTTAAATGGTGATTGTCTGAAGTGTGGATGAGTGCTCTCTTGACAATTTCTCTTGGGAGAGAGAAAGGATGCCCCAGCGTCTTCACTGTCACTTTGGACCCTAACCATTCTTAGTGGCACTAAATACCAACAGAGTTGCCTTAAATCTTGTCCCCATTTCAACGAGTGGTATCAGTCACATCACATCTGTTATCATTCCCATTACACAGGTGAAGAAACAGAGGGTGTAGAGGACTTGCTCAACCTCGGGAGTGAGTCAGAGGTCAAGAAGGAAAGTACACACAGGGCGACAGGCACACAGACTTGTCCTCACTGACTTGTCCCCGCTGCCCTGGAATACTCCCTCTGCCTCGGGACATTGTCCTGGGTCGCCCAAAGAAGGTTATAAGGAATATTAGTGTACAGGTTTTCAAAACAACGTCCTCCAACAGGACCCTGCCTGGGGCTGCCGGCAACCAGGGACTCACTCTTTCCTGTGCCACATAGATATTCTCTGCCTCCTTCCCATACCTCTAGCAAGAGGTATCCAGGCCACCAGGACCTCCTCACAAAAGAATAAAGCCTGAGAAATGCAGTAATGGACTCAGCATAGGTTGTAAACATCGCGTTGAAAAGAACTAGGAAATGGCAGCATCCAAGGCAGCAAACAATGCATCCTGGCTTCCTTAATAATTTGCATTGAGCAAGGGGTAGGTGAGGTTCCATAAGGGAAGCACGACAATCCCGGGCACATTGAATTTGATAATATGTTTGTTGCACGCCAGACTCTGGAGCTACAAAGCTGAATAAGCCATGGCTCATTCCCTCCAGCAGCTCACAGGCCAGTGGAGAAGATGGACAAGAACACAAACACGGCACTAACGTCACCAATAGAAATGTGTACAAATACCAAAGTGCTGCAGATGAAGGAGTGATTAACTGGAGCAAGACTTCAAAGTCTCCAGCATCTGATGGACTGCAGGTGCAAACTGCTTGCACAGCAGCTGTATTCTGAAGCTCTTCTCTAACATGCGCTTGCGGGTAGCAACGCCAACATCATTTCTTTGGACAAATGTGTTAAAACCACATTTGATAATTCAAACCATGAAATAACTGAATTGTGCTTTCTTAGCAAAGTAGAAAAGTTTAAGGAATGGTCACGTTGGGTTGAAGATAGCACTTCATTATTTTCCACGGGGAGCAAATGTGCACCTCCTTTTGATTACTCAGAGTTTGTTCTGCAGAACAATAACAAGGCGACTGCCTTCTAAAGCAGGCTCCTCTACTGGAGAAAATGCAGAAAGACTGAAGAGGTTGAGTCTCATTGTTTCAGCAGGTGAAGTAAGGGGTGGGGCGTGCTTACCAGAAAAATGACTGAATAGACTTGAAAGTTATGTAAGGAGACTGTGGGATGAGTACATCCAGTCTGTTTTCTGGTTTCTAAATTCTCCAACAGTAAGCAGCAGATTTCTGTGTAACGAGGTATAGATGTGAGAGCTATACATATACAAATTCACTTCCCAACCATTTCTCAAATGATTTGTGACATTTAGGAGAACTCCATGGGAGGTAAGTGCTAAAAAACCCTCTTATCTGTATAAAAGACAAAGGTTATACAGTGTTAAATGCCATAAATTGGGCCCCTGTACCCATGTGGGAGACCTGAAAGAAGCTCCTGGCTCCTGGCTTTGGATAGTCACAGCTCCAGCCATTGTAGCCATCTGGGGAGTGAATCAGCAGATGGAAGACCTCTCTCTCTTTCCATCTGCCTCTGCCTCTGCCTCTGTAACTCTGCCTTTCAAATAAATAAATAAATCTTTTTTTAAGGACCCAGTACAATGTAAATGCTATGATATAGTTGTTATCCTGTATTGTTTAGGGAATAATGATAAGAAAAAACAGTCTGCAAGTGTACAGTATAGACATTATATTTTCCAAATATTTTCATCCCCCTGGTTAATTGAATCCATGGATGCAGAACCCTTGTATATGAACCTCTTGGATAGAGAGGGCTGACTATATTGGGCAATCAACAGAGGTTTGGAAAAATGAATGAATGAATCCAAGAAAACCTTCAGTAACTTACCCTGTCTGTTGGATTATTAATGCATTCCAAAGATTCTCTGTTAGGATTGCTGTCTTTGCTTAATGAGAACAGATACGATTTTCAGGTAATAACTGTATGTGTTTCTGCAGTGCAAGTTTACGGAGGGTCTACCGTCGCTGACAGCATTGCCTTCCCCAGGTTGCTGCTCAGCACACCTGTCCAGGTGGCCTGGTGTTGGCACCTAGATTGAGAGAAGGCCCTGTGTTGCAGTTAGGCTGGGAGGGAAGTTATGATGTTGGGGCATCAAGCTGATTGACTCTACCTGGGTCACAGAGGTGTGTGTGGAGAGGACCACCTATCAACGCCAGATTGTCTCCTACAATCAAGGTTCCTCTTCGTTCCACTTGTTTCTGCTCTGATGGAAAAATAGTCTGGGAGGCACAGAGAGAGCTGGACAGGAAACAGCACCTCCCACCATAGTTCATGCTAAGCAAGGAGAAAAGCCTCTCGTTTAATATTCACAGCGATTTAAGAGCTAGCTTTCAGTATTATTCCCATTTTACAGAAAGCTGAGGCTCAGAGACTGTCAGTAAATGGCCATATTAAACAGTAAGCAGATGGCAGAACAAAGAGTCAAACTCATGAAGCCAGCTTCGTTCCCATCTGCCACGTTATGCTGATTCACTGTCCTGTTTACTTGGAAAAGCTTCATTTGCAGAACTGGAATAAGACTAGGATTTGCAATAATAGAAAATTTCATTTGAAAAATTTTTAAGTTAGATGGACTTCCTATAAGACGAATCTTATCATAAAAAAAACCTTAGAGAGCATGTAACACATCTCTAATTAAAAAATATGCCCAGGGGCAGGCATTGTGGCACAGCAGGTTAATTCTCTGCCTGTTCTTCTTCCGATCTAGCTCTCTGCTATGGCCTGGAAAAGCAGTAAAAGATGGCCCAAGTCCTTGGGCCCCTGTACCCTCATGGGAGACCCAGAAGAAGCTCCCGGCTCCTGGTGTCGGATCGGCTCAGTTCTGGCCATTGCGGCCATCTGGGGAGTGAACCAATGGTTGGAAGATCTTTCTCTCTTTCTCTCTCACTGTTTGTAACTCTACTTGTAAAATAAATAAACAAAATATTAAAAAAGAAATATGCCTGATGATTATTTATGAATCATTTTTACAGTGCCCTAAATAATATGGTCCCAACCTGAGACACCAAAATCAGTAGCCCAGTGGTCTTGCACCGTAGAATTTTCCCTCCCTCTCCACCGTTCAGAGCCTGGATAACCGAGAAGAGTCAAGTGCTTTGCAGCAGGCCCTGTTCTTGCATCTGCAAATCCAATCAACTGTGGATTGAAAATACTTGAAAGAAATTGTGAGTGTTCTGAACATGTATAGACTTTTTATTCTTGTTGATATTCCCCAGACAATGTAGTGTAACAAGTATTTCCACTGTATTAGATATTTGGAGTAACCTAGAGATGACTTAGAGTGGAAGGGGGTAAGTGTGCAGGTTTTATGAACATACTGCACTCTTTTGTAGAAGGGACTTGAGCATCCATGAATTTTGTTATCTGTGAACAGTCCTGGAACCAATCCCCCATGGATATCAAGGAACAGCTGTACTTTGGAGCACGCCAAGTTGGTGGAAATTTGGGAAGTCTTCGTACTGGCTTCTGTTGGGTACAGCTTTCTTTTTCCTACCTTAAATGCTTTGAGAATGCAATGTAATTCACTCTAGCAATGAAAGCAAACTTAGGGACGTACATTAGGCACCTCAGAAATGCATGCACGTATGAACAAACCACTGCAAGTAAAGTTGCTGTCTTGCACCAGCTTTGGCCTGGGTTTTTATTTGCTGCTTGCATTGTGGGTAAGATTGCTCCTGTTGCAGCATTTACAGTTGCTTCTTTGACCATGTTTGGTTTGGCAGTTAAGAAAAAAATCAACAGAAGGATTACATTTCAATGCACAACACCTAATCCTCAGGCAAATGATTTGTCCACGCTTAATGTAAAGTACTTAGGAGGTACTGTTTGATGTAAACACTAGTTCTCGTAAAATGGTGCCTGAGGTACAGTTCTTTAACTCGTAATGCCCTATTGGTGTTGGCCTGTATGTGTTGGCTACAAAGCCATTATGATAAAATATATCCTCTTTAGCCTGATAAAAAAGAAAATCAGAATATAGGACCCACACTAAGAGAAGAAGATACTGCAAAAGAGGAAGTCCCTGATGATGCTGTAATCGGCGTTGGGGACAAGCCAGCCAGTGCTTCTCCGAAGGGCCCCTCCCCACCGACTTAGAGGAGCATTGGTCTAAGCATTGCAGGCACTTTATTCTTCCCTCACATTAGGCTGAACCCATCTACCTTTAGCCGCTGCATTTGTGAAGTCTTTGTAACTGGGAAGGAGGAGTAGTGGATAGCAAGCACAAAGAAAGGTTAAAGGAAGCAAATAGAATTCCACCTGCCTTCAATAGCAGTCTCTACCCTCAAACATCCACTTGTTATAACCTTTTTTTTTTTTTTTCCTGCAGGACCCTGTGCTGCTTGGAAGCATGCAAGGTTAATCATAGCAGGCAGAAAAATGCTCCGCATTTCAAGACGTAACATTCATCTTACAGCTCCACTAATGCGGGGCTGACAGGAAGTCACTTTCAGCTTCCTTCCCGCCGCTCAGGTTCCCTGTGCTGTGAGATGCTCCTCCAAGTACTGGAGGGTGATTGCTGTCCATGTGGTGTTGTAAGAATGATAGGCATATTTGCCATTACCCTCATCTGATCGAATGCTCATAAATCAGCAAAAACTCCACCTCCATGCACTTCTCTCTGTCTCCGAAGAGCAGACATTCAGTCATGGCTCCATTCACCATTCATCCGATGACTCACTTCCAGAATACTGGTGATGGAGAGCCTTCTCTGTAATCGCAGCCTTGGCCAGCGCATGAAAAATCACAGGGTCTGAATTGAAACGACTTGAATTTTTGGGTTCCTGCCTTATCCTGACTCATGTGTGACTTTTCAAGAGTAACAGAAGGGGCAGGAGTTTGGCCAAGAGGTTAAGATGCAGGTTTAGAAAACCCACATCCTGCATCTGAGTGCCTGGGTTCAATTCCTGGCTCCAGCTTTGTGTTAATGCTGGCTTGACTTGTTGGGTTCTTGCTACCACATGGTCACCTGCATTGCATTTCCAACTCCCTGTTCCCTGTTGTGAGCACTTGGGGAGTGAACCAGTGAATGGGAATGCATTCTCTGTCTCTCAAAGAAATAAATTTGGGGCTGGTGCTATGGTTCAGGGAGTTAAAGCCCGGCCTGCAGTGGTGGCATCCCATATGGGCATCAGTTCAAGTCATGGTGCTCTACTTCCTATCCAACTCCCTGCTAATGCACCTGGGAAAGCAGCAGAAGATGTCCCTAGTGCTTGGGGCCCTGCACCCATGTGGGAGACCAAGAGGAAGTTCCAGGTTCCAGAATTCAGCCTGGCTCTATCCTGGAGGTTGTAGCCATCTAGGAAATGAACCAGTGGGATGGACAATCTCTCTCGCTGTCTCTCCTTCTCTCTCTCTGTAACTCTGCCCTTCAGATAAATACATCTAAAACAAATCAATTAAATTTTAAAAGAAAAAATAGCAGGAGATGTCAGCTTTTCAATAAGATGCTATCTTTTTAAAATTTAGATGGCAGTCCTAATTTCTATCCTTTCCAGCAAGAGTCATTTGAAGAACAAGTCTTTGGAGTTTATTTTTTAATTATTATTATTTCTAATTTTGTTTGAGAAGCAGAGAGAGAGAGAGAGAGAGAGAGATCTCTTGCCTGCTGGGAACCAGGAACTCAATCTGAGGCTCCCATGTGGGTGGCAGGGACTCAACCACCTGTGCCAGCATCTGCCTCTCACTTTCATGAGCAGAGAGCTGGACTTAGAAACGGAGCTGGAACATGAACCAAGAAAATTCAGTACGGAATGCATGCAAGAGGCATCTTAACCACTGTGCCGAATCAGGTCTGCAGACCAAACCAGGAACCATGTTTGAGCCATGTTTGAATTTTCCCAACCGGAACAAGTGAGACTTCATGAGACTGTCGCTTTCAGAGTCAGGCTCCCACTCATGGAAAAGAGGGAAGCAGATTCCCTCCCTGGGTGGGAGGCAACCTGGAATGGGAGGTAAAAAGGAAAGAAGGAAAGTTTTTAGTGATTAGAAAGAGGAACTCCTGGGGCTGGCACGGTGGCGTAGCGGGTAAAGCTGCCACCCACAATGCCGGCATCCCATATGGGCACCAGTTGAAGTCCCAGCTGCTCCACTTCCGATCCAGCTCTCTACTATGGCCTGGGAAACCAGTAGAACATGGCCCAAGTCCTTGGGCCCCTGCACCCGTGTGGGAGACCTGAAGAAGCTCCTGGCTCCTGGCTTCAGATTGGCACAGCTCCGGCCGTTGCAGCCATCTGGGGAGTGAACCAGCAGATGGAAGACCTCTCTCTCTCTCTGCCTCTCCTTCTCTCTTCGTGTAACTCTGACTTTCAAGTAAATAAATAAAGCTTAAAAAAAAAAAAAAAGAAAAAGGAACTTTGCTCCTGCAATGTTTTCCTATCCCTGCTTATTTGTTATGTTTGGTACTCAGGAGTGAAAGTGAAGTCATTCTCCTCTACTACCTCCTCGCCCCACACGAGTGGTGTTTGTGTTTACTCTGGAGTTCTTTGTTCTTTCTTTCTCTCTCTCTCTTTTTAAGACTTATTTATTTTACTTGAAAGTTAGAGTTACACAGAGAAAGGAGAGGCAGAGAGAGAGAGAGAGAGAGAGAGAGAAGTCTTCCATCTGCTGGTTCACTCCCCAATTGGCCACAACGGCCAGAACTACGCTGATCAGAAGCCAGGAGCCAGGAGCATCCTCCAGGTCTCCCATGTGCGTACAGGGGCCCAAGGACTTGGGCCATCTTCCACTGCTTTCCCAGGCCACAGCAGAGAGCTGGATGGGAAGTGGAGCAGTCGGGACTCGAACCGGCGCCCATATGGGATGCCGGCGCTTCAGGCCAGGGTGTTAACCCATTGCACCACAGCGCTGGCCCCTGTTCTTTTTGTCTCTTAGCATTTTTATTTTTATTTATTTGAGAGTGAGAGCTAGAGTGATTGAGCTCCCATCAGCTGGCTCATTCCCCAGATACCTGCAACAGCAGGGACTGTACCGGACCAAAGCCAGGGGTCAGGAACTCCACCCTGGTCTCCCACATGGGTGACTGGGACCCAACTACTTGAGCCACCACCTGTTGAGTCCCAGAACGCACATCAGCAGGAAGCTGGAATTGGGAGCAGAGTTGGAGTCTGAACCCATGCACTCCAGTGTGGGACATGAGAGTTCTAGTAGGGTCTTAGCTGCTAACTCAAACACCAGCCCCAAATCTTTTCTCAATAGGCTCTAGGAAGCTTTGCATATTCTTGCACTGACTTGGAAGTTTGTTATTCCAGACACATTATCTTAGTTAAATGAAGGGAAGGGGTGGATTGGGTTTAGGATTTTTTTGCTTTCACACAGATTCCAGCTTTCAATACAAATGGTAGTTTTTCAAAAAGCTACTCCCTTCATTTCTGAAAATTTCAGAGGGATAGGAAGGGGGTTTGCTCTTTTATTCAGCTGCTTGGGATTTAGCATTGAGATCTCTTTTATACGAACATTAAAGTCACCTGTGTAGCTATTTTTTTTAATCAGGGAAAAAATCTCTGATTAAGAATTCAGAATACTTTTTGATGGTCAAGTACATACAAATAAGTGGGAAAAAATACAATTAGGAACCTGAGAAGGTACCTAGCTCTGCCCAGAATTATCTAGGTTATCAATATGAAATTTTTAAAAAGATTTATTTATTTGAAAGGCAGTCACAGAGAGGCAGAGGCAGAGAGAGAGAGAGAGAGAGAGAGAGAGAGATCTTCCATCTGCTGGTTCACTCCCCAAATGGCCTCAATGGCTGGAGCTGCACTGATCTGAAACCGGGAACCAGGAGCCTCCTCCAGGTCTCCCACATGGGTGCAGGGGCCCAGGGACTTGGGCCATCCTCCACTGCTTTCCCAGGCCATAGCAGAGAGTTGGATCAGAAGAAGAGCAGCTGGGACTTGAACTGGTACTCATGTGGCA